ATTTATCTTTTATTTTTTATTTAAAATATACTTTTATTATTTAATATATAATTAATTTAAGGGCTTTTTTTTTAAAAAAAAAACTAAAAAAAACTTAAATTTGTATTATTTATATAACTTAATAATTAAACATATAAATAATAAATATTTAAATAATTTAATAACATTTTATTATTTAATAACTATTAATTTTATTTTATTACTATTATTACTATTAAAATATATAGTAATATATTAAATTAAAACTTTATTAAATATTAAATAAATAATTATTATTAATAAAGGTTTTAGTGATTAAATTAGTTAGTCAGTCTTAGTTATGTAACTAACTGACTAAAATTTTAGTCAGTCTTAGTTATGTAACTAACTGACTAAAATTTTAGTCAGTTAAAATACATTATTTAGTGACTAAATCACAACCCTGTATATATGTAAAAGGTAAAAAAAATATTAAAGAATTAAAAAGTTAATGGTTTATAGTTCACAGTTTAAGGCTAAATGACAAGGCTAAGGCTAAAAGCGGTGAACAAGACTTTTAATATTGAACTTTATATGTTTAATCGTGTTACTTCGTTCTTTATCTACTTTACATGCTACTTTATATCAAATCGATCTAGGTTCATCACTTTGTCCCAAACTGCCACAAAGTCTTTCACAAACTTAGCACCCCCATCCGCACTGCCGTATACCTCGGCGATGGCACGTAGCTCAGCATGCGAACCAAAAACAAGGTCTACACGTGATGCGGTCCACTTCTTCTCTCCCGTCTTCCGGTCGAACCCCTCAAAAGTCTCGCGGTCAGTGCCGATAGGCTTCCAGGCTGTGTTTGTATCCAAGAGGTTAACGAAGAAGTCGTTAGTCAACAGGCCTGGTCGTTTCGTCAAGACGCCAAGAGTCGACCCATCGTAGTTCGCGCCCAGTGCACGCAGGCCACCAAGTAGTACGGTCATTTCCGGGGCAGAGAGCGTTAGCAGGTGTGCCTTGTCAACCAGTAGGGCTTCAGTTGGCACTCGTGGCGTTGATTTGCCATAGTTTCGGAAGCCATCTGCGAGGGGCTCAAGATGACCAACAGATTCCACGTCCGTCTGCTCTTGCGAAGCATCCATACGTCCAGGCGTGAATGGGACTGAGACACCCGATGCTTTCTCCACTCCAGCCACTCCCGCTAAGACGATCAAATCGGCAAGGGATACCTTCTTGTTGCCGCCGGCATCGTTGAATCGTTTCTGGATACCTTCCAAAGCTCCAAGAGCTTTGTCTAGCTGTAGATGGCTGTTCACCTTCCAATCACGCTGCGGAGCAAGACGGATGCGCGCGCCGTTGGCACCACCTCGCTTGTCGCTGCCGCGGAAAGTGGAAGCCGACGCCCAAGCTATAGACACAAGATGAGACGTGTTTAGCTCGACAGCTAAAATCTCCTTCTTTAAGGCTGCAATGTCCTGGTCGTCAATGAGAGCATGATTTCGGGCCGGGATTGGATCCTGCCAAAGTAGTTGCTCCTTAGGAACCTCCGGGCCCAAGTAACGAACCGACGGTCCAAGATCACGGTGCAACAGCTTAAACCACGCGCGGGCAAAAGCGTCAGCAAACTGATCCGGGTTCTCAAGATATCGCCGAGAGATTTTCTCGAATTCAGGATCAAAACGGAGCGCCAGGTCAGTGGTCAACATCCTGGGCAGGTGCTTCTTAGAAGAATCATAGGCATCGGGAATGATGGGATCGGCGTTTTTAGCCACCCATTGGTGCGCTCCGGCTGGACTCTTGGTTAACTCCCACTCGTAGCCGAAGAGATATTCAAAGAAGTTGTTGCTCCATTTGGTAGGCGTCTTGGTCCAGATGACCTCTAAACCACTAGTAATGGTATCTGGGCCTTTCCCAGAGCCGTGTTTATTGCTCCAGCCAAGACCTTGCTGCTCGATTGCGGCCGCCTCCGGTTCCTTCCCCACGTTGGTTGCAGGAGCCGCACCATGGGTTTTACCGAACGTATGTCCACCGGCAATCAAGGCGACCGTCTCCTCGTCGTTCACTAAAGTGCCGAGTTAGCGGTTATCTGCAGGAGTGTCGGTACACAGAATGTGTTGAGAGATCCCCCCTCAAAAAAAAGAGTCAACGTGATGACAAAACACCAGTAAACCAGATACAAGTTAACTAGAAGTTATAGACGTTGACCGGCAAAGCCAATGGAAGACAAAAAGGAATTGTATCTGCAGGATGCAACGAAGGCAGTAAAATTACCATGACTTACTTGCCATGCGACCAAAGGTAACACGAATGTCTTTGCCTGCAGCAACAGGATCTGGAGTGCCATCAGGCCCTTCGGGGTTCACATAGATCAGGCCCATATGGGCTGAAGCGAGCGGCTCCTCAAGATCACGAGAGTGTATTTTGCTCTTGGGGTCTTGGTCGGCATCGACAACGCCAGATTTGTCGAGGCCCTTGTAGCCTTCGGCATAACGAACGTCATTGCCCAGCCAGGTGGTCTCGCCGCCCCAATAGACAGCCTCGTCTGCCTCCCATGTGTCTGGACGGCCGCCAGCAAAGCCAAATGTCTTGCAGCCCATGGACTCGAGGGCAACGTTGCCAGTGAGGAGGAGCAGATCCGACCAGGAGATCTTGTTGCCGTACTTCTGCTTAATGGGCCAGAGAAGACGGCGGGCCTTGTCAAGACTGACGTTGTCAGGCCAGCTGTTGAGGGGGGCAAAGCGCTGCTGGCCGCCGCCACCACCACCACGGCCGTCAGAGACACGGTAAGTGCCGGCACTATGCCAGGCCATCCGGATAAAGAGGCCGCCATAGTGGCCGAAGTCAGCCGGCCACCACTCCTGGGAGTCGGTCATGAGGGCATGAAGGTCCTTCTTGAGACCATCATAGTCGAGAGACTTGAAGGCGGCAGCATAGTCGAAATCCTTGTCTAGAGGATTGGAGGCCGGGTGGTTCTGGCGAAGAATATTCAGACGTAGCTGGTCGGGCCACCAGTCGCGGTTCTTGGTGCCACTACCGGCCACATTGGCCTTGTAAGGACACTCGGCGGGCTCTGGTGCCATGGTGCTACTCGAAGTGTGGAACGAAGTAATTTGAATTCGCGTGGAGTGACGCGGGGTATACGCTCGCGAGAGATAAGCAAGAAGGTTATGAGCACGGTGCTTTATCATACCAAGCCCGGAGGGAAAGAGAAGGGAGGAGGAGAGAAGATAGTGTTGAGGAGGAGGGTTGTCAGCAGCGGACAACCCCGCACTTTATATGTGATTAACGCCATCGGGCCATTGCGTGACATTCGTAAGTTCCTACCCTCGTCAGACACTGTTGAACGCACATAGAAGTTCTGGTCTAAGTGCATACGGACAGACGGGGTAGGTAGGTCAGTTGTAGAAGGATGCGTCGGCATCTGCGGGGTCCTTCGGATGTCTGGGCTGGCAGGGGGGGGGCTGGGGGCATCAGAGTATCAGGGTATCTAGGGGTCCAGGGCAGCCTCCTAAAATGTATTAATACTCTAGTCTAGAGGTACCGCTATACGGCACTAACTATTGACAAGGGTCCGTCTTCCCTAACGTGATGGCTTTATCTATACTGGACTAAGGCCCTGAGATTGGGGGAGGGAAGCGGGGTTCGTTCGGCAACGGTGGGCGTTTGCCACGTTTGAAGGAGGGGCAGAAAAGAGGAGCCAGAAACAATCGAAAGAGGATAATATGCATCACCCCCTCCTCGTTCCTCTTCTTATTGTTCTAAACAGCTCATCATGCCACCCTTTTTACTAATGCATTGCTCTTAATAGGACATGCATGACTGAAGTAGTACTACCATCAAATGGAACTGCTTTAACAACCACATGTTCGCAACGCCTCTCCGTTTTACTGTTAATATTGTCCCCGATGCCGCTACACTCGCTGAAAGCAGCGTTGTGTTTAAGTAGTACTAGATACTGTTCAAGGGGAAAGGACACCGCTGGGCGGAACCAGTTGTTGGGGTGGCTTCCTTCACACAATGGCCTCCTATTGGACCTGACTTGCTGGAGGGGAAGCCATAAGCCGTAGGCTTCCTTCGAGGCAGATCTTACTCGCCAGTGGCTGATGACATGGGGAATCTCTTAGTCACTGTGATGGCTTACGAGAGGTTAGGACCGTCTGATGGCGAAAGGCATGGCAATAAGTTTGTGGAATCCTCGGTGGTGATGAATGCCGTTGTGAAATTCGATGATTAGCAACATTAAAGAACGCAGAAAGATATATATATATATATATACATAATCAACACAATGCCAGTATATGTCACGTGACATGAACTCCATGACCCCGGGTCAATACTAAATAAAGTATGAGGTAAATGAAAAAAGAAATAAAAAAGAAATAAATTAATTGTCTTAAGTACTAGACTAATTGGCACCCAGTATTCTTAAAGCGTCTACCAGTGCCACAGTATTCTACGCATGGTATGTAAATGGTGCAGTGTAAATATCATTAACCTAACAGTAGCCTACTAGCTGCGCTAGCCTTCTCGAACGACGAGTGAGTCCGGTGCCAAGGTGAGGCAGCGTACTCGAGATCAAATCGGATTCTATACGAAACGTCTTAACAGGCATATCTACATAACCCTGTCGTAGCAATTGTGTACTACTTATATAGACGTCATCCGACTCAAGCCATCTCACTTGATCCAAATAACAATAGTAAGTCACTCTTCAGGCGGCTCGTTGCACGAAGAGTATATAGCATGTCTTCTAGGTGATCATAATAGCTTTAATCTGAAGCCTCTTCTCCTATTTGCTTAAGCTAATTACCAGAGACCCATTGGGCATCTTCATTCTATTTCCCTGCGTCTTACTTTGCAACTGCTGGGAACATTATACATGTGTAACAAAGACGCATGTAATAAAACCGCGACGAATAATAGGTTGTATACCGCATTAGAAAAGCATTGAATATTGGGGTGACAGAAGGAAACGGTGGACCTAGTACTACTAGTAGTAAAAGAAAAAAGTCAGATGGGACTAAAGTCCTATTCCATGACCACGCTGGGGATCGAACCCAGAATCTCTTGATAACAATAAATTTTTTTTGAATCGTAGTCAAGCGCTATGCCATTAAGCCACGCGGCCCAGGATTACCAATCAACGCGATCGGACCCACTTATCAACAGCCTGCTCAATTTGCCTATATATCGTCATAATATAGGGTTTTTGGTTCAAGCTAGCTTTTAAGAACGACGATCTCTTAGATTATCCCGTTTTCTTCCTTGTTAAGTTGCCCTCTTGATTAGGTATTACGTGTGCCCTGTTTAAATAGGTAAATATTTAGATAGTCAGAAAGAGGTGCGCGAGGCAGCCCAGCGGTGATTAATTTGGTATGATAGCCTTAGAAAAAAAACTTATGGAAGTTACGGCGTCTGGCTACTGCGGTCACTTCGCGCCATCGCGTTTATCGTACGCCTGTCAGAATTCTGTCGTACTAGGTATCACGTTCTTACAGGTAATACAGCAGTGGAGTTAGGTCCAGAAGCGACCCCTTGAACCATTTATATGCTTCAATGTCTAATTTATCTCTTTTGGGCCTGCTTAGGTCGCTACTTGGACCTTGCATTAATTTAGTAAAGCTCCAGTATTATAAAGCGTCCTCAGTGTTAAAGTCATTAAGCAGTCCCAAGTGTTCTGAAAGCAAGCAATGTGTTACTTCTATTAGATAACGTCAGAGATTTACTTGTGATGGTTTTATAGAAAATTATAGCCAATGACTATGAATAAGGACGCACCGCTCGGCTGTGATGAGTCGCTATTGGCTATCGTCAAGCCAACATTCGACTGCCATAAGGTACAGTGTTGGAAGCTAAGTCTAGAGGCCAGGCGAGATGCTCTGAGTCCAGAGTCACCTAGCGGGTTGCATGGAGAATCTATTGCTGCTCCTTGGTTGCAGTGTACAGATATAGGATCCTGGTGATTACTTATTGCATACTATAAGTATGTGGAGGTCCAAATCGAATGGATTATGTTACGAAAAAGGAGCGGCCACTTAGAGACACTACTTTTTCTTTACGTAATTTTCGGCCGTACGTTCATACATTCTTATTGACCACGACAATATACAGGCAAGTGATTTGGTCATCAGTACCCGCAAGGAGTAACTTCTCAAGGCCCCTGAAGCCGGAACGAAGTTTCGGTGGCGATGTCTTAACTCTTCTAGATCAACCTTTTCTATCTTTCCGAATACCTAGTTATCTCCTAGGGAATTCCTTTACGGCCGATGCCTGTGCGCCATTGTAAGTCTATTAGCCGGGAGGATTTATTGCTGTATTTAATAAAATTTTTACCTTTTTTCTTTCTTAATGTTGACTACTGAGGGCCGTGTGGTGTTGGCATGAAACTTGAATAAGATAGGGGAGTATTAGTTCACTTTCAGCCTGGTAAATCTCTCGCTAAAGCAATATCGCAATTTGTGTCGCAGAGCTCCTTGATAGCTGGGATCTCAGAAAGGGCACAGGAGCTTCACAGACAGTGTTCCCGCAGATGAAGCAACATAATTATTGTAGTTTGTGATCCATACACTGAGGTGGCGTTTCGCGTCTTACTACGAGTACCTTAAACTAGTAAAGATTTTTAACAGTTAATCTGCGGCTATAGAAAAGCTCTTTATAAGATACGTCTCTCTAGATGACTCTAGTAGCAATACCAGTGATCGATAGAAGAGAAGGCCGTTTTATCCGATTGTCCTTTAGCAGTAGGCTCTAGAGCACTTTCAGTAAGCTGTCCAGAATAATGATGGCGAACAGACCAAGCAAACTGTGTCTCAATAGATCGCCAATGGGCTGACTGGGCAGAGGTAGATGAAATTGCTTGTTGTCAATGTGGACTCAGGTACTTCATAAAAGTCAACATAATTATCCTAACAAGAAGGGATTGTATGATGTCTCTTCCTCCTGTCTTGAGTAAAGATCAGGCATATCCGATATCCAGTAGCGTGTTTTCAAGACGACAGATGACTTATTTTCTACGAGAATCTGTTTTCTGGCATGACTAAATGCATCAATGCGACAAGCAGCTCGAATGGCTCCATCTCCTCCACATTGTGAATTTCCAGTACAGACACATACGAAATGTGAAGTTATGACAATATTGCCATTTGCAGCACGTGCTCTATTCTTTGTCAGTTGACAAGCTTCATGGTCCTGGCAGTTATCCAGTCAAACAATTACTTAATACAAAAATGATTTGTGTTGGTATCTTGTCAGCATGAACCGAGTATTTATATGAAGCCACTAGTGTTTTGTAAAGTGTTGCATCGTGTTTTGTGCCAAATTAGTATGTATCATTGATACAAGGGTTTTCATATACATAAAAGGGATACTCTCATTCCTTTGGATAGCTTAGGACCTTTTAGAAGGTCATCCAGAAATTCAATGAGAAGCTATTTATCCCCGTTTCCGAACCCTCTCAGCCTAGCGATCTGAGATATCTATCAGTAGCTGTTGGCGAATCTCTACAGGAACATGCTTACGACTAATAATTCGAAGTAAGAGCGATGAGTTCTACTATCTCGCGCAGCACCAAATTGGATACACCTTAGCTCGTAACAACTACATAATGTGCAAGTCTCTCATCTGTCGCGAGCAATAATAGACAGCTCTTTCCAAGGCGAGCCACATTACCATCTGGCGAGCTAGGCAAGTAGATATAGAGGATTCCGTTCAGCTAATCGGCTGCCCCCAATGACATCTAATAACTCCTCTTCTAGACGCGAGACCACTAGATGAGAAGCTCTATTTATTTCGATATAGCCTTGCTTCAATTTCATTTTTGCAAGTTTTAAACACATAATTCCCACCGCTAATATTCTCTGGTGGCTCTGGAAATTTTGCTTCTACGTTGACAGTAGTTCTTGTATTATTGATTATATAGTTATACCGTGGATTCTCTAAGCTACTAAATCGCTACCGCTACCATCAGGAAGACAGTGATACCGTCCCTTCTATAGCTTGAAACTAGTTAGCAGTCAATCGGTATTCCGTAGAGCGTGCTAAATATGTAACATCAAAATTATCACGAAGAGCGTGAGCATGCAATTTTCAGCGAACAGTGTCCAAGGATGTTTCGCCATAGCCACTTGATGCACAAAGCATAATATATTGAAGACAGTTTGGTAGGATTCTAGGTTGTGCTCCTTGATTGACCTCAGTAGAGACCTGCAAGTTGAAGTAGTGTTCAGAAGGATATGCTCTGTGCAAAGTGCTCGTATGATTCTAATTGTCCATATTTTATTGCCTACCAATAATGGGTGCCATTAGTGAAGTCTACAATATGATCCGAGGACTAACTTTGGGATATTCTCATATGATAGCCAGAAAGGACAGCTCGTGTGTACCATTTGTGTTCAGGAGGTATGTAGTAAATTATATCTGAGCGCCTACATGAGAGGTAAGATTTCGGTTAGTACTATCCAATTTGCATAAGCTGCAGTTATGAACTCCTTGGTTTCCAACTGCTTAGGTACGGCAGCTCATTATTCGGGAAGTGGTACAATAGAAGAGACAAGCTGTATCTGTAAATTGCACCACTTATTAGTAGACACTCCTCTATCTGGGTAGTATGGTGTGCCAAGCTTCCTTTCTGCCTGGCCAATACCCTGGTAGAGATCTCGGGTGAAGTTGATAACAGGCCTCTAACGGTTAATGTCACCCGTTTCCGTTCCACTGAAGCCCTGCTTATATTAACCATAACGCGTTGTTGCCGTGGCCAAGCGAGTAGCAGGCCGGCAGTGAGCTCGCGGGGTAAATGTAACCTTGCCACCCCCCACGGACAGTTTGGCCGCTGACATGGACGTGTTGATATCTGTTATAAAGCATGAGCATGCCCTCAAGCAACCTTGGCTGCTATATATAAGCCTTTCGCCCGGAAATCATAGCTTCTGAAGTGCTCTGATTTTCTCCCAACCTGCCATCAATGATGCCCATACTGTTGCATACCTAAACCACCCCCCGATATCTCAATAGCGCGGGCTGTAATAAGGGTATAATACGTATTTTTGTGTGGCAACCAAATTCCACGTGCGGTTTCAGTATGGCGAATAGCTTGAAGAACCAGTCTCCTCACTCGACTTTACATTTAGTGCATAGGTATAACAGAGCCCCGGGTAAGCAGGACACGTATGGTGCTATCCACTGACACGTAGTTGGCAGTCATGCGCACGAGGGAGATATACCAGGCACTGTTAATGTACAAGTAATTGGTCAGTGGCCTTGAGTGATATTATCCTTTTCTCGCAGACTTGCTCATCTAAATAGAGGGAGACGATACCGGCTATGGCCAGGCACTCTTTCCTGTCCCAGCAGAAGATCCCAACGATCCACTCCAGTGGTCAAGGTTCAAGAAGCTCATAATTCTCGTCATTATCTGCCTCTACTCCTTTCTTGGAAACTCAGCACTGCTTGGCGTCGGTCCATACATCACACTATGGTCGGAGACGTTTCGCGTCTCCCAAGCAGACGCATCAACTCTGATATCTTATCCAAACTTGGCTTACGGGCTTACATCTTGGATTTTGGTACCATTGTATTTGAAGTTGGGAAGAAGACCGGTTATGCTCGGGTCCCTGTTAGCTGTAAGCAGGGAGGTCTCGATACGATATTGAAAAAGGCTCACTGTTATGTGTAGTTTATCGCAGGCCTCGCCGGATGTTCACGGGCTACTAGTTTTGGCGGCCTGATGGCGGCTCGGATTGTCCATTGCTTAGGTGCTGGCATTTGCGAAGCTTTGCCAGTACAGCTCGTTAATGACATTTTCTTCCTGCATGAGCGTGGCAAGCAACTAGGGTATTACACGTGTAATAACTATCTCTCCAACCACAGCGGAAGGATGGCTAACTTTCTACAGTTGGGATATGCTTTGCCGCACTCGCGCCACTTCCTGCGGCATATATGCTCTCTACCAAATATTCGTGGCGACTCTTTTTCTATGTTATCCTAGCTTTTGCATCAGCACTTTTCATCTTGGCTTTCCTCTTCGTCGAAGAAACCTCGTATGAGAGGAATATACCTACCGATGTCCCTGTGGCCGGAGATGCAAATGCGGTGAATACAAGTGTCGCTCGGGAGAAACCCGAGTCGTTTACT